AACGGAAAGAAAAAAACAGGCTTTCAAACCAGTAGTGCCTCCTTACGAAGCCCAAGTCCTTAAACTACTATGCTGTATCGAAATGATATTCCAAGTGAATGTCCAAATAAATACTTTTCATGAATTGCTTATTTTTATTACTTAGTTCAAATTGTCTGCATGATGGCACGAAGCAGCTATTATTATCCTTTAATTGTCTATCTCTCCCATTAGCTTGTGAGACTGCTTGAGAGCAAGCACATATGTTATTCATCTTTGTAGTCTTAGCACCAACTACTGTGCTTGGAATGTAGTAAAGCCTTAATAAATATTTGTGGAATGAATGAATAATAATCATTGTCATTTACAGAGCGACTATTTCATTCCAGCAAGCATGCTAGGGGTCTTATGTAAAATTTATAACTCAGTCTTCATAACAATCTTGCAAGGTAGGCATAAATATTCCAACATCATAGGTAAGGGAAAATAGGGTCAGAGTTTAAACAATTCACAACTAAACTAGAATTAAACCCAAGCTAACTGGGCTTTAAAGTCTGACTTTTTGTCTTCATCTAGCTGCTTCCATTAGTATGAAGGAACAAATATATAAATAACTGGGTTGGAAAAAAATCTAACATCTTATTGGATTTCCAGTAATTAGAGGAACTTCATAAACAGATGAAGTCTTATCTCTATGAGAAAAAAGAGGAGTTCTGTATTTTCTTGCCAAAATTAAATGAAGAAACAAGTTTTTGTATCTCAAACTATGCCTATGCAGGCAAAAGGAAGAGAAATTGGGATAATAATCTGAAATATGAAATGGTTTAAATTGCCAGTGTGGAAAACATTGGCTCTTCCCATAATTACCTAATCATTCTCTAGAGTTACTTGGCATGAGATGTAACCCTGATGATATTCACAACTAGCTCTTCTAAAGACTTAGAAGTCAGGTTTTAGCTTTACTTTTCCATGTCTTGGTTTATTATCCAGCACGAGGCAGTAATTTTCCAAAGTACCTGGGTAGGTATTTTTATTGCTGGATTGCTGATGATGGTTTTCATTTGTGTTTCTGTGTGTTCCATACTTTGCTTTGCATGGTAAAATCATATGCATGAGTCTATGGCCCAGTTAAGTTTCTCCCTTAGTTTTACCAGAGTGATGCATTTCTAGTAACTCCTCTGAGCTTGGACTTAAAATAATACCTATATTTGTAAGGCTGATTTGCAGAATCCATGTCGTCTTCTCTGATTTCTGATGAAAAGTAACTAATAGGAGCAAAATAATTTGGTAGGCGTCATACAAAGAGTCATTGTTAATTCTCCATGTGCTTCTTTGGCACATACTTGCTTGGTTTGGTATTGGTTGAAATTATTTCAGCTGGATACCACCAAGAGGCTGTTCTCTTCTTGCAGAGCTAGGAGCCATTTGAAGATTCTGGAAATAAACAATTTTCATAAGATCTTTGCTGGCGTGACCCTGCCTTTTTTCCCAGGGAAAGGATGTTCTCCTAAACCTTCTTCATGTATGTACTACTAGTTTTGCCATGATAAAGTAAAGCCTTTATTTTGTTAATTCAATAGGAGAGATTAATATAAAATTCAATGTAGGCATTTTCCCGGTGATTTATAATAATAAAAGCTATGTCTATGTATTTAATACTGGGGAAAGAACAAAATAAGACCGTTTATTTGTTTGATAAAAAATTGTATTCTCTTGTTGTTGAGACACGTCATTAAGGGCTAGAAACCAAGGGGTGTCAAAAACCCCAGAGTGTTGCTGTTGCATGGGTGTAGAGTTTCAGTCATGCAAGATGCAAAAGTTCTAGAAATCCACTAACCAAAAGTGTGCAGGGAGTGAACAATTCTGTAATGTGCTTTTACCACAATTAAAACAAAAATAAAAACAAACACAGAAAGCAGAGTCGTGACCAGTAGACATGGAAGAAACCCAACCACATTTGTGCTGAAGAATTACCTGCTCCCATTTGAATGTCGAGAAGGAGTTAGAGAAATAAACCGATTCTCTGCTTCATAAAACTGCAGCAAGTCATTTTCATTAGCAGTGATGACTGATGGAGATTGTCGGTGATGCTGTGATCCCAGGAGCAGAAGTCACCCTGTAAACAAAGCTGTGCTGACAAAAGGGGACTGTTCACAAAGCTGACACTAGCGCGGCGTTGCGAATATGAAGAAACAACGTGTGCATTCTCTGATTTGGGGCCAAAGTGCTCAATAATGATTGTGACATTAACTATAGGAATTTACAAATTTTAAGTAAAAAGAATAGATCTTATTCATTCATTTATTTATTTTCCTCCGCTAAAATTTTTCAAAAGTATCTGGAAAGCTAAAATGTTTTCACTGTATAAGTTGGCAAATTAAGGAAAGTTTAGTGTTAACTGAATCGCATTTAATTCTTTCCAAGTGCTTAGCTTTAAATACTACAGTGAAAAGACAACTGTTAGAAAACTTCTTTCAGGGCTGGAAACACATTTTGAAACAAACCTTTGAGGCAGGATAATAAAACCTGCACAATATCACAATGCATAGAAGGAAAAACAGAATTCCCTGATGTGGTGATTTTCTGTTTCCAGCTCCAACTTCTATGCCTCCTCAGATATATAGGAAAAATAGGCATTTAGAATAGGGATTTTTTTTTTAACATCTTTATTGGAGTATAATTGCTTTACAATGGTGTGTTAGTTTCTGCTTCATAACAAAGTGAATCAGTTATACATATACATACGCTCCCATATCTCTTCCCTCTTGCGTCTCCCACCCTCCCACCCTCCCTAACCCACCCCTCTAGGTGGTCACAAAGCACCAAGCGGATCTCCCTGTGCTATGCGGCTGCTTCCCACTGGCTATCTATTTTACGTTTGGTAGTGTATATATGTCCATGCCACTCTCTCACTTTGTCACAGCTTACCCTTCCCCCTCCCCATATCCTCAAGTCCATTCTCTAGTAGGTCTGTGTCTTTATTCCTGTCTTACCCCTAGGTTCTTCATGACATTTTTTTCCTTAAATTCCATATATATGTGTTAGCATACGGTATTTGTCTTTCTCTTTCTTACTTACTTCACTCTGTATGACAGACTCTAGGTCTATCCACCTCATTACAAATAGCTAAATTTCATTTCTTTTTATGGCTGAGTAATATTCCGTTGTATATATTTGCCACATCTTCTTTATCCATTCATCCGATGATGGGCACTTAGGTGAATAGGGATGTTTTTAGCCACTAAGATGAGTGCAGACAACTTTGATACCAAGAGGAATATGTTATCTCCCTCTCTTATCATTTGACTCGGTAGCTATAATGAGCTCTAATATATTGAAATATAAGCAAGTGGGAGCAGGGGAAGAAAAAACATAAGGGAGAGAGATTGAGTTCTAAATGTACGAGAAGGAAAAACTGAGAGCAGTTGAGAGGTTTATGATAAAACCAGAGGTATTATAGATGAAGACCAAAAAATAGCAGTTTCCACCCTTTTGAAAAATTATCCTATTCTATGGGTTTTTCTAAAACTAGTGTTATGTACTTGCACTATACTTAAGGTGACTTGGAATTTTATGGGAGGGATTTCAGCTTGAGTTCATTTGTATTGTCATTCAGAATTGCCAAGAGTGGTCTCTCATAATTTTCACTTATGACCTATGGATTTTTTCACCACTTACATACCAAACAATTTGTATTTGATCATACACTGTCCAGTTCTATTCCAATGTGTTTATTGAAAAGTTTTACCTTTCCCAATAAAAGTATAATTTCCTTGGGATCTGGGTCCAAGTACCTTTCACAGAGCCTTATACTTCTCTACCTAGTTTATATTGTCTGTAGGACAACTTGTCTGTCTTGTTCACTGCTGAAATCCTGTGCTTAGCACAATGACTGGCATATAGTAGACTTCGGATAGATATTTGTTGTCTTCATAAAAGAATGAGTAAAGAGAATTAAGCTTATACATAATTGTTCAGTGGCTATTGCCTTAATGTGTATAGGGGAGTGGGATTCAGGTTTTAAAAATTAGTGCCATTTGGGATATTGTTAAATGGATATTGTTCAGAGGATTTTAATCAATTAACCCTGGGGATACTGTTAAGATAGCATCTGGCAACTTGAAGCAGATTTACTAGATTAAATATAGTCAGAGTGAAATACCTTGCTTTTAGTACAAAATATTGCCCTAATTTCAAGAAACGAAATAGACAAAATCTTTGACAAAGGGTTAGTAGAATTTAATAGAGTTTAAATCATCTTTTTGTTTTAGATATAAAACATTTTACATATAAAAATATGTACCTATATATTATAAATACACATAGACACACATATATCTGTATTTATTATATATGTATACATATAGGTTTCCACTTCTATGTTTGATCTTCTCTGAACCCTCACTTCTTAACTTGCAGGATTCTTTTCCAGATCATAGAATTATTTGTTATTTTTACTTAGGCGATTTCCATGATTAAAATTCCATGTCTCCCCAGGTTTCCGTGAATCAGCAGTGCCCCAGAAAGCGTTTCCCTTCCTGAGACTCCAGGGAAGTCTTGGAACACAAAGAACTTGAAGAGGGAGCCTGGCCAAATAGAGATTTTTGAGCCTTTGTAGCCTTGCTAAAGCAGATTATTAGTACAAACAAAATCAAAGTCTGTGTGTTCCTAAAAGCAGCATTTTCATGTAAGTCCAAGGAACTCACTTTAGTTTTATTTGCTTTGGCTAAAGAAATGAAAAGCTTTGTTTTGACCACGTGGGCATTATTTTGCAAGGGGATCATAACAAATTGTTCTAATCTTTAATTTCACTAAAGAGTTACTACAGTGATTTGATGTAACTTTTTCAATGGAAAATTAACAACTAAATCTCTTCTAACGTCATTGTTTCCTAGATATGAATCAGAAGCTTCCTAAGTATTTTTGTAACACAATGGATTCTGATTCTGTTATTCAGATTCAGTGTTTTCTTCAAACGAATGACGCTTTATGATTTTGCCAGCAATTTAATAGATTTTTGTCTTCTTAAAAGAATAGAACTAAGAAATATCAAGATTTAAAGCATAAATACCTTGGAACACTCAGAAGAGCAACATGGGAGAAACTGAGAAAAGAATTGAAACTCATAGAATAAGATGTCTTTCCAAGTTGAAGGTATGGACTTGCTTTGTGTGGATATATGTATATGTACCATGTATATATTTTTAAACCGAGACCTTGTAAAGTTGCTTATATCTTCATGTATTAATCTAATAATGTCATGCTACCTGATATATTGATAAGTTCTTGCTTTAATGAAGTTGGTTTGTAACTGAGGGTGTGTCTAAATAGGATTATTGATTCAGGCAATTTAATCAGAAATAGTTTTGAGGGATTTAAATGGAAGACAGGATCTTAAACACTTTCAAGTACACGTTATATTACAGTAGGATTTAATTTCCTGGATCAAAGGCCAATTTAACGTTCACACTTCTGGGGCTTCTAAGTCAGAGGAGTATGGAGGTGTCTCCTGGAAAATGGTTCACTGGACAGAAATGCTTTGTTGATCTGTATTCAGTGATGCCTTCTCAATGACCCACTAAAACAAATGTTTACTTCAAGCTTTGGCAACATACCAATCATTCTTTATAAGAAAAATACCCATTTTGTTAGCTGTTTCTGGTCTTCTTGACTATTTCAGAGCAAATTCTTTTTGCATAGCCTCAAAGCTATTTTGCCTTCAAACAAAATTTAAATTTATTTTAAACCAAGGAATCTGGATAATTGTCTTGATTCCACAGCTAGTGCCTGCAAGTGTTTTCCAAACTATGACCCTGCCACCAGTTTCCTTCCTATCAAAAGTTTGTTTTCTCTTTATACATGTGTAGGAAAGATCTACACATGTACCAGAAAGGGGAGAATCATGATATAGAGCTAGAAAATTACTTTTGCCTGAAATGCTCTGTTAATTATATATTTTAAAAATCCCCTTAAATTATTCCTAATTCTCATGTCCATCTCCTAACATTGAGGGGTTAAAAATAAGGACTGAGGCCCAGGCTTGGTTTATGTCAAGTTCAACTACTGACTTGCTGTGTGACCTCGGAGAGGTTGCTTAACCTCGCTGTGGCTCAGTTTTCTCATCTGAAAGGGGTAACAACAGTACTCATCTCATAGAATGTTTTTCTTTTTACATCCTTCAAACAATGACTGGAATATTGTAAACATTCAATAAATATTAGCTATTATTAATAATAGCATTTGTGGATAAAGGTCAAGTATTATTTATAAACAATTGATCCTTAATTTTTTATGACTGGAGTTTTTTGGCAGGACTAGATATTGATCTGAAATGAGATAGCAAAATACTGCAAACACAAGTTTATCAGGTAAAAGTAAGAGAAAATTGCTTCATAATTAGCCGGGTTTCTCTGTTTCTCTGACCTTAGGCATATGCTCATTAAGCAACAATTTTAGAAGGTATCAAAGGACTGTCTTCAACAAATTTGCTTCAAACTCTGGGGCATTATTAAAAGCTGGTAGGACTAGCTTTATAAATATAGAGGTTATTTTGCACTAGACATGAGTCACAATAGCCACTGGTTGCTTTCACTCTATGAAGAAAACCATACAGGTTAGGAAGCCCATCTAAATGTTTCAGGAAAAGCACTGGGATCATGATTTATCTAGTTTCCTCTCTTAAAGTGTTAAATAAAAGAAATTATTCTCTCAAACATGATTTGTACTTTATTTGATAGGCCTTGCTTGCTTTTAAATATAAAAGCTGAATTATAAAACCATGTGAAAATTCTTTACTCTCAACAATGTGCTCTGAAAAGATTTACAGTGTGATGAGAGACAGAATTTCTACAACTGGTATTTAATATAAAAGGATAAATAGCTAGAGATATAGTTATACTATCTTGGCAGCTATATAACGATATGAATTTTGACTCATATTGAGCCTGATATTTAAATTTCCCGGGTCTTTTCCACATACATTTCTATTCAGATTTCCCCAAACTAATTGTTGCAGATAACTTTTGGTTTAGGTGTATTTAATCCTATTGAATTTCATCTTATATTCAGCTTACTTTCAGCAGTGACTACTTTTTCAAGATCTTTTTGAATACTGATTCTGTCATTCATTCAGTAAACTTGTACTGGATGCCTACTGTTTGTGAGGCATTTGCTAGACCCCCAAGATACGAAGGTAAATAATATATGGATCCTATCATCGAGTTGTTCACAGTATAGCGAGGGAGAAGGTTATAGGCATCCAAACACATAAATAACGTGCACTGTGGGGAATTCCCTGGCAGTCCAGTGGTTAGGACTCTGGGCTTCTACTTCAGGGGCAAGGGTTCAATCCCTGGTCAGGGAACTAAGATCCCGCATGTCACATGGCACGGCCAAACAGATAAATAAATAGCCAAACAGATAAATAAATAAAGTCCTTAAAAAAAAATAAAGTGCACTGTGCTGAGGGCTGTAATAGAGGCAGGCACACAGCAGGGTGGGGAGATAGGGAGTGAGTGGTCAAGGCTACCTGGGAAGTAGAAAGACACCACAATAGAAATAATGATAGGGTTGAGTTTTAAATATTGAGCATATATTTATCAGATGCACAAGGTGAAGAAAAACATTGCAAGTGGAGGACCACCTGTAAAAGAGATGTAAAGTGGCATGGTGAATTAAAAGAACTATAAATAGAACATTATGTTTAGGGACAAGCGGCAAGAGATCATAACAAGGTATATACGAGGTTTTGTTTGCCATCTAAGAAGTAGGGATTTTTGTTTATGGGAAGCCACTAAAAATTTCAAGAATTGGAGTCACATGCTAAATATGCATTTTATTCATTTGTTTGACAAACATTTATTAAGCTCCAAATTAGTGGTGGCAGGAGGTGGAAGGGAGATTGGAGGTGGGAAAGACTAGAGGAGACTAAAAAATGATTGCAGTTGTCTAAGATAAACTGTGTATACATTTGAGAGATTTCAGCATCTGGGTGGTAGTTAAAGCCATGGGAATAAGTGAGATTTCCTAGGGAGAGCGTATATAGCAAAAAGTGGAGGGTATGAGACAAAAGCCTGAGAAGAGAAGACTGGATAGAAAGAGTCTAGAGATAGGTGGAGTTATAGGTATGCATGGGGGGAGGGGAGGGAATTTCAGGAAGAAAAGAATGATTAATGATCTTAAATGGCTCCGAGATATCAAGTTAGCTGAGGACTGAGAAGTACCTATTGGATTTGGAAATCAGGAAGTTGTTTATGACCTTTTATAGAGTAGCTTCAAGAGAGGCTAGACTGTAGCAGACTGAAGGGTGAGTGGAAGGTTCGTGTAGGCAATGAATCTAGACTATTCTTCCAAACAGCTTGATGGTAGCTGGAGCTACCATCAGGGATGAGGGAATATTTTTAGGACAGAAATGTCTTGGATATATTTATAAGTTAGTGGGGAGAGAGGCAGTAAAGAGTATGGGGATGAAAATAGAGAAGGGGGTCAATAATTGATGAATCAGGATCTCAGCAATGGGAAGAATGGATTCCAGAGCATGGCTGGAGGGAGTTTCTTATACAGAAGGAGGGATACATCCTTTTAAGATGGGAGGGAAATTGGAGGGGTAGGGAGGGGTGAATTTGAAGGTGAAGTTGCTGAGATCATTTGCTGGTCAAGAAGAGCACGGGGCTGAGCTGGAGACTGACAAAAAGAAAAGATTGTGAATAATCTTGAAGGGAGTGTACAAAGTGCAGTATAAATTGTGGGGTTGGTTCAAGATTGAGAAATTGGAAGATGGAGGGGTGAGGATTTTATGGATATGAGTGTACTGGCTGGAGAGTAAATCGAATGGTCTCTCAGGATGGAAGTGTCATCAGGAAATGGAAAAGCCCTATGGCATAGGATTGGAGACTACCATTCAGGCTGACATAAATATATTTATCTATACTTTGTTGACTGGGAAGCAGTAAATAATCTACCTAACTTATGATTATCCAGTATACAATGCTCCTTTTTCAGATCCCTTACTAAGACCTAAATCTTCTCACTTCCAATTTAATAAAACTATCAAAATTTTAACTTTTTAGTGAAACCATATTACTTTCTGCTGATCACAATGGTTCTATCTGTTAAGTTGTCCTTGATTTTTTTGTTACAGATGGTGTCAGCCTGACTGCTGTCTGGAATTATATCAATACCTAGGAAGTGTGATTCAATATGTGGAAATTTATTGTACTGTATTCATATTCGTTTATCATAGCAAGTACCTGTTCAGTTTAGAAACGTTTTTGTATGGTTTATAATTAAAATATTGCTTTAAATAAATTAACTGGCAATGAATAGCAATAGAATGTTGTATAAACTGCATATTACTTTGTTCGAGAGAACTTAAGCAAATTTGCTACAGAAATAATGTCTTTGTGTAACGTCACATTCCTTTTTAAACATTAACATACACGTACTCTTTTGTACTACAGATAGTGTTGCAATGCTGAAGATCAATTGAAATCATTTGCTACATGTTATTTAGAATGATTACTTGCTTCTGTGTATGTATAAGACGTGCCCATAAAATAATGAGGCTACAAATGACCTACACAATTCAATATCACTAATCAATTAGTCCCACTTTGGATTTTCAAAGAGAGAACATAGTATGGAAAACCAGAAGAAGAGATCACTTTAAAAGCTTCTTCCAAATACAAGAGTGACTTGAGCTGGAGGCAATCAGTCTTTTGATAGAAGATATTTTACCAATGGGTGGCAAATATACAATTTAAAAATAAATTTTTCATATGTTTTCTTGCACTTTTTTTCTCCCTAGATGTTTCTGTTGGCAATAACATGTGCGTATGTATCCAAAACACTATCCGGATCTTATATGAATTCCATGCTCACACAAATAGAGAGACAATTCAACATCCCAACATCTCTAGTTGGATTTATTAATGGAAGCTTTGAGATTGGTAATGAATTACTTTTCCATTACTTCTTTTTATACATTATTTTATCCAGGGAGCTAGTCTGAATTTTACTCTCCTTATTTTCCGCTTTGTACCATTTAACTGACTGAATGTATTTTCTAAAATGACTTAAATAGCCTAGCTCACTTTCGAATATGTTGAGAAACAATTCATTTCAATATTATCCCTGAATAACACTTAAACATCGTCACATATCCCATCATGGGACTTGTTATTCTAATAGTTAAATTTTTTTTATTCTAATAGTTCTTTGGTTAGCTAGCATGAGTAGCAGAGTGTTTAGAGTACTAATATTTAATCTATTATTTGATAACCCTTAGGGCTTTATTTTCATGTTTAGAAGATAGCATGGGAAACAAAGGAATCTGTTTTCAGAAAAAAAAAGCAAATATTTTTCTTCTCCTATTGTTTCTGGGAGGTTGACAGTTCTCCTTTCTAAGCGCAGAGTGAAGAAGAAATAGCTTTCACATCTCGCTGAATTTATTTCAGAAACAGCTTTTAGGGAAGAATAAAGCCTATTCTTAGGCTCTGAGTTTTGTGGCCGACTGGGAAGATGTGAGGACAGAGAGAAAGAATGAGGGAGGGAAAGATTTCTTCTGTGAACAAACCCGCAGAGAAATACAAATGTCACTCCTTTACAGTTTTGTAATGGCTTTTACTTCCTTCAAGATGAAAGTTGCCTTTAATATTTTTAATCAGTATCTGAAAGAAAAATTAGGATGGGATAGAGGCAAAACTGAAACAGGTGATGCTTGATCTTGTCTACTAGTGCCCAGCTCTCTCAGACCTCATTCTGTGCCACCCGTTTGCTGGCTATGGAGATCCTGGCTATGGAGTCAGAAGTCACTCCTTGTAGAGTCCCTGTGTAAACTCACCTCACAGTCTAATGGAGGGCATAGGTGCCAAATAATTTAACTGAATGCAGTAAGTTTGGTGACATAGGTATATGCAACATCCTATAGGAGCACAGAGGAGGACACAACCTCACTTAAGGAAGATAGGCTCTTGGAGTAAAAGTTTTCTGGGTGACGAAACAGGGTTAGATAAGTGTGAAGACAATTCCAATAGAAGAACAAGCTTAATGTTGAAACAGCATGGTAGCTTGTGTAGGGAGCAACATTCAGCCCAGTGTTATGGACTGGCCACACTTCAGGTGGCAATTCCTAGAATATAGGTCTGGAGAAATGGGCAGGGGCCAGAAATGGACTATTGGAGAGCTTCATGTGTGTGTGTGCTATGGAACTTACCTTTTATCCTCTAGGTAATGGAGAGTCACTAAGAGATTGGCAGAGGTTATTAACATTTCTGTGTCAAGGACCTCTTTGGCAATCTGATGCCATATAATCTCAGAATAATGTAATTGCGTAAAATAAAACTCATAAGGGTAAAAAGGAAGTCAATTATACTGAAATAAAATTATCAAAATATTAAAAGCAGCTTAGATAATAATACTTGTACTTCTTACCATCACATTAAATAACAATATCTACACTAATTTTGAAGTAATCATCAGTGTCAATAATATTTTGAAGTATCTGGAACAACTGTAATGTTGTATGCAAATACCTGTAACTTCTGTTGGTGATAATTGATGACAAAATCATACATACTGTTAATACTAATGTAGTTTGTGTCTACTTTCACAGTCAAAGGAAATACTAATATTAAGTTACTGAAAATAAAGATGCAATTTTTTTTCTCACTCAAGTTCATGGAGCACCTGATTTCTATCCATGGACTCCTTTGGGGTTTATAGATAGCAGGTCAAGAACCTCTGTTAAAAGACATTGTGAAACAGAGCTCTCCCTCAGGGCGGGGGCTGTGTCCTATTCATTTATTATTTCATGCATCCCTAGCACCACTCCCAGTATTTCAGATATTTATTATACAATAAATGCTGGGTAGTCAATGATTGGGTGAGGCTGTTAATTTAGACTTTGTTCATACTAATTGAAATATTCATTTTTCACATCAATTTTTTCTAGGAAATCTTTTGTTGATTATATTTGTGAGTTATTTTGGAACTAAACTGCATAGACCTATAATGATTGGTGTTGGATGTGTGGTTATGGGCCTTGGGTGTTTCTTACAATCACTACCTCATTTCCTCATGGACCGGTAAGTACTGCAGTCTCTGATGATTATTTAGGTGCAACTTTCTGCAGGAAATAAGCTTGGATTTCTTTCTAGGAACAATGCTCCTAAAGACACAGAGCACTATAATAGAAACTGCAAGGTTCAGATTCTGTTCCATCCGCCTGTTTTGTGCTCTTGGCTGCCTGGCTTCCACTTACACATCAATTTATGAAATAGAGATTTGGGACAACTCTTTTATGGAGTTGAGTCTGATGAAAAGATTCTTAGGACCTGGCAAGATTTGGGATTACTCCTTTCTAGGGACTATTTAGACACTTCTAATTACAGTTGAGTTTCTGTTTAATTATGGGTCACCAAAGGATAGACCAGTCTGAAGGTTGATTTTGATTTTAAATTTTTATCAAAGTAATATGTGTGCAAAATTGTGAAAAGTAAAATTATATTGAAAAAAGCATTGTCCCCCGACCCCTTCAACACTGTTCATATTACTCCTCTCCGGAGGCAACTACTCCCGACTCTTTCAGCTCTTTCTTCTTCTGTTTGCTTCCATATTTCTAAGTAAATGTTTATCCTTTTAGTTTTTGATACTTTAGTGTTCTATAATATACATATTGACTTCCTACTACAAAATCATACTCACTATTCCATGTGTGTGACTATGTAAATATTTCTCATATTTCAGCTGAACCATGCTGTTATTTTCCCTTTCTTATATCACTTTTTATTTTCCCTGGATTTAATAATTGCCTCATTTTATATTTGATTCATTTTCTTTTTATTTCTCACTAATCATCACCAGATTCTTTACCGGTAGGACAATGTCTTCTCAATATATTCATACATATCAGAGGGTTTCATTTTTGTCTTTGAGATACCTCTCCTGTCATCAATTTTCCATCTGCAATCTGAACTGGGAACTCTCCAGGCCTGCTGCATGGCTGCTCCTTTGAAATTTTCACTCACCATTCTCCTTGGGAATTTGTTCTGCCTCTTTCTTCCATTCAGTTACTTACTTCCTGGGTAGTAATATCTTCTCCTTTCCTTTTCATTCTTACTCTTTTTGTGGAAAATGTCATCTAATAGGTTTCTGAGAAAGTGTGCAAGGAAAGTAATAATTTTAAGACCTTAAACATCAGGAAATATTCCTATTCTACTCCCATACCCTGTGACAGTTTGGCTGGTATAAAATTCTCGGGCCTCTCACTGTTGTGGCCTCTCCCGCCGCGGAGCACAGGCTCTGGACGCGCAGGCTCCGCAGCCATGGCTTACGGGCCCAGCCGCTCCGCGGCATGTGGGATCTTCCCGGACTGGGGCCCGAACCCGTGTCGCCTGCATTGGCAGGCAGACTCCCAACCACTGCGCCACCAGGGAAGCCCTTCCCTAGGGATTTTGAAGACATCATTTCCAATACTTTCTAGTTTCCAGTGTTACTCTTGAGAATCCTATACCATTCTAACCCCGTGACCAGTTTCTTTTCTCTAGGAGCTGTTGGGATTTTCCTTTAAACTCCAGAATTTGAATTCATGATAATCATGTTGGTATAAATGATTTTCCTTTATTGTGCTAGTTGCCTTCAATCTGGACATTTGTAAAAGTTACTTGTATTGTTTCTTTGATAATATCCCCCCTTCTTCCACCCTCTACTTTCTCTTTCTAGAACTTCTACTTGTTCTTGAATATTGTTACATCCTGAGTTAAGCTTATAGTTTTCTCATCTTTTCTCTCCAACTTTCTATCTCTTTGCCCTCTTGTTACTTTTAGGGGAGATTTCTAAAGATTTTTTTTTTTTTTTTTGATGTGGACCATTTTTAAAGTCTTTTATTGAATTTGTTTCAATATTGCTTCTGTTTTAGTTTTCTGGTTTTTTTGGCTGCGAGGCATGTGGGATCTTGGCTTCCCAACCAGGGATGGAACCCACACTCCCTGCATTGGAAGGCCAAGTCTTAACCACTGGACTGCTAGGAAAGTCCCTGGGGTAGATTTCTTTATCATCCAAACCTTTGAATGGATTTCTGACTTTTGCTATCATATTTTTAAGTTTTAAGGACTATTGTTCTTTGAATGTATCTTTTTAGGGAACATCTTGCTCTTACTTTAAGAATGCAATGTCTTTTCCATCTACATTTCAAGTGTACAGTTTTTTATTTGTTTTGTCTTTGTCTTTATGTTATGGACTTCCTTCATATATCTGGTGGTCCTTGGTTAGCTATTCATATTTGAGAGAGAGGAACAGCAACAACAAGCTAACCAGAAGTTCTGTGGTACATGTGTAGGATGTGGTTGTTGGAGGACTTCTTCCCAGCACAGGGACTGGATGTTTTAGAGATGGCTCAGAACTGTCCATAACCTGTCAGTTAACTCAGGCAAGGATTCTCCAATCTGTTGCCTGAGACATGGCAGCTTGGCTACCAGCCAGGTGGGAGTGGGAGTCTCTTTTATCACTATGTAGATATTTCTTTTACTTAATATCCCCAGGTTTTAGTATGGTCTCCTGTCCTCAGTGTGCTTGTTTTGACTCTCTGCAGTCTAAGGCCATGTTCGTTGGGATGGTGGAGGATATCTATTATAAGGGTTTAACTGTTCCTTATACACACTTTAAACCAATCCTCTGATTTTTTGGATCATACACACTCCTGCCTTTAGAAGTATCTTGTATCCTGCCTGAAACTTTCCAGGGATATGTGGCACATGTTTGGTTCCTCCCCTGCAGGCACGCACTTAGGCTTGTGTTTCTCATATTTTCTAGTTCAGTGACCACTCATCTGCTTTCCCATTTTCAGAATCTTTATCTTCTTGTCGAATTTTCAAAATCTCTTTCTCCTTGTCAAATCTTCCATTTTCTTTATCCTTGTGGCATTATGCCTTTTCCTTTACTATTTTATAATATATCAACTGTCATTTTGCTGAAGTTTTGGGGATGAATGAACGTTGAATGAGTTATTGGGGTTTAGTGGATAAGTTAAATGAAAATGATATATTATCTTCTCAGGTATTTCTGAAGGGATCAGAAGTTTTCAGGCAAAGAGTTTTTACTGTCCTTTTAGTTTCTATCCTGTCCAAGACAACATTAAGTAATATTCAGCTATTATTTACATTTCTTTCCGCTCTCTACCAAAGGTGTTATTTTTTTTGTCTGAAGCTGGCAAGTCTCATGGGATCATGGGTATGGAGACAGAAGCCTTTGTCCACAGTTCACAGCCACTCTGTGACCATGACTGGACAATTGTTCAAAGGGGAAGGCATTTTGACCCTTTTTATTATGTTCTATAGCATAGAAATCAGAACTATCAGTGACATACATAGCACTGTTTAGCTCATTTGGAACTCAGAAGGGCAAGGTTGTTTGTATGTGTGTGTGTGTGTGTGTGTGTGTGTGTGTGTATGTGTGTGTGTGTGTGTGTGTGTGTGTTTTGTTTTGTTTTGTTTTTGGATTTCTCTTATCTACTAGAAATATAGAAACCAGTCCAGCATAATTTCTACCAAAGAGAGACTTAGCTGGACATATTTTCTTCCATTATTGCAGCTTATAATTTACTTTCTGAGAAAGGGCATGGTATCTTGTGGTAATTTGCCTAAGATAATATGGTCACAGTGTATTAACCCTTTTGTCCTTATGAGAAGAGAAAAACTCATTACATTGCACTGTCACAGTGTTTGAATCTCCAAAGGTCTCTCATTATGATGGGCAAATATTTTGTTTTTCTTGGGGATTGATGAATGCATGAAGGGATTATTGTTTGAATTCTCAGAAAGTGGGGTATATTTTTTATGAGCAAACCTCAGAGAATCCGAAGTTGGAAACTTGTTTGTTGTGTTGTTTTTCCTCCCAAAGCGTTATCTTCTTTATTATACTTTGTAGAGTCTATTATTTTTCTTCCTTTTTGTTCCTTATCCACAGTAATTATTTCCAGGAAATGATCACCTAAAAACCACAAAGCATTGACATTAGGTAATCTAAAGGGTAGACCATACATATGCAGATAATTGAAAGCTGGCTGTCAATGAATTGCACATTTTCGTGAGTGGCAAGTTCTTTTTGATGATATCAATCTATGATTATTGGGTGGCAAAGATGAAAAGACATCTGCTTTCCTGGGTTTGGATGTTGTATCTTAAGTGAAGCAGGAGCATCTTCACAACGCTCACATTGTCCTCATTGGCTCCTTAACACAAATGTGTTTTCCCTGTGTTCATACAGATATGAATATGAATCTACAGTTGCAGTTTCTGGTAATTTGTCCTCAAACAGTTTCTTGTGTATGGAAAACGGAACCCAGATTTTCAAACCGACAGAAGATCCATCAGGTTGTCTGCTTCATTTTATTACTTTAGTTATTTGTAACTGAACACTTTCTGTGGAGGGTCTTTGAATGAGTTATTGGGTTTGGTTAAGTAAGGTAGAGGAACAAAAAGATAATTTTTCCCCTCTAAAGGATTTTAGAGGGGATCAAGGAGGAGAATAGGAATGGCTAATAATAGAAAATGTAACGCCTCTTATATTTGAATATACCTATTAAGACTGCCTTGTCTGCTCTTTTTTTTTTTTTTTTTTTTTTTTGCGGTACGCGGGCCTCTCACTGTTGTGGCCTCTCCCGCCGCGGAGCACAGGCTCCGGATGCGCAGGCTCAGCGGCCACGGCTCACGGGCCCAGCCGCTCCGCGGCACGTGGGATCTTCCCGGACCGGGGCACGAACCCGCGTCCCCTGCATCGGCAGGCGGACTCTCAACCACTGCACCACCAGGGAAGCCTGCCTTGTCTGTTCTTTAAAATGGTTATTTAAAAATCAGTCAAAGACATCCACCCAAGGGCCACTGTAAAATTAATTCCTTAGAGGAAAACATCCTAGAAGGATGAGTTTATACTGATGATTTGGTCTATACAATTATCTAAATAGGAAACAGAGGTAGAAACAAAGTTCAAAAGATTTGTGTTATATTATTGATATTCTATAGCAGAGAAAGCAGGCAAGTATGCTATAGTTCTGAATACTCTAGTCTCTTTCTACTGAACTAGGAACTTGTCTTTTTTGCCCAGTTGTCCCTCTGTAGCAGAGACTACTTCCTAATCCAGCACGATAGTGTACAATAATGGTGTTTCTTCCAGGTTCTTGCAGTCCCAGGCACCAACATACCTGCCTCTGCCCCTTCGTGTGCTAAAGGACCTGTATAATCTGGTGATACTTAGTCTATAGGTGTTAATTTATCTGTTAATTTATCTCAGACCAGAACTTCTTTTCCTGTGATGGGCACATTTTCAGGCTGGATTCATATTAGTGGAAGTTACGGTGGTTCCTTATGCTGGGAATTTCACCGCCAGCATGGAATACAAGGGGATCAAAATAGTTCAAATGAGTATAAGAATATCTGTCTCAGAAACTCTAAATCAAAGGAACCCCCTGGGGAAACAATAGAAAACAGTGACATCAGCAATAGCCCACGGTCTCTCCTTGAGTTGGCTTTTGCCAAAGAATGACTCAGGTCCTGTTTCCTATTTTTCCTAATGTGCATTGTAGTAGATAAACAAAACCTTCCCAGTTGGGTGTATCTCCAGGGAAATGTGTTGATTCCTTAATCACCTGATATTTTCAGTTTTGCCCTAGAGGAAACCTGGAGTTTGCCTATGATCTATAAACATAAACATTGTGCTCATCATAGATAAAACGGAGACTATGATTTTCTGGACTGGGAATGACTGAGAGATAGCCTCACAAGAAATTTTCAGACTCAGCTGTGTTCAGGACCCTCACATCTGTGGGTGGCACAGTTTACTAATCATCGGGAAAATGCAAATCAAAAACCACAATGAGATATTATCTTACACCTGCCAGAATGGCTGTCCTTAAAAAGGTAACAAATAACAAATATTGTTGAGGATGTAGAGAAAAGGGAACACTTGTACACTGCTGATGGGAATCTAAATTGGTGCAGCCACTATGAAAAACAGTATGGAGGCTCCTCAAAAGATTAAAAATAGAACTACCGCAGGATCTAGCAATTCTACTCCTGGATATATATATATATATATATATATATATATACATATCTGAAAAAAACAAAAACACTAATTCAAAAAGATACATGCACCCCAATGTTCATAGTAGCATTATCTACAATAGCCAAGATATGGAAGCAACCTAAGTGTGCATCAACAGATAAATGGATAAAGAAGACGTGGTGAATACATACACAGTGGAATATATTACTCAGCCACAGAAAAGAATGAAATTTTGCCATTTGCAACAACATGGATGGACCGGGAGGGTATTGTGTTTAGTGAAATAAGTGAGAAAAAGAGAAATACTGTACGTTTTGACTTATATGTTGAATCTAAAATATGAAACAAATGAATAATATAAGAGAACAGAAACAGACTCATACGTGCAGAGAACAAACTAGTGATTACCAGTGGGGAGAAGGGTGGGAGGAGGGGGGGAAACAGGAGGAGGGGATTAAGAGGTACAAACTACTAGGTATAAAATAAATAAAAGGATGTAATGTACAGCACAGAGAATGTTGCCAATGTTTTATAATAACTTTATATGGAGTATAATCTATACAAATATCAAATTACTATGTTGTACACCTGAAACTAATATAGTATATTGTAAGTCACTGTACATCAATTTAAAAAGAAGTTATGTGGTGATCACAGTATACAGTGGGCTCTATAGAGAAAATGTGATTACTACTCAGTTAAATATTTTTCATTTCTATAAAGTAATCAGAACTGTAGAGAATTCAAAACTCAGTGAGCCTCTTACACAAATCTTATAAATATAGTCTCAATTCTAGGGAGAGATATTTGTGTTTTTTCCTCTCCCCAAAATTAGTGTATATATTGGGTAGCACTTATAACAGCTAACTAAGTTTAGTAGTTGCTGGTAAACTAACTGTCTGGAAGGAAAAAAAAAAAGCCTTGATTTTTAGTGTTTGTCCATTTCTGTGGTGTAAATATTCTCATCAAACTACCAGCATGTTATCACTAAATACTGAATTGGGAAGAGATGTATATACTCATCTCTCCCCAGCCGGTAGGAACTGGCTCCAGCGTACCACTTATTGTTGGCCATACATGAGTACTCTGTCAGAAAGTGCAAGAGGGATGGCCCAGTGAGTCATTGCTGGCATAGTAAATTGTTAAGGTGCCATGGTCACATAAGAACTGTGAAATTCTTACCTACCAAAAACTTAGAATTAAATATTGCTAATATTTCACTACCAAAACACTAATGTAATGTCTTTTTTTTTTTTAATGCAGAATGTGTGAAGGAAGTTAAATCATTAATGTGGGTGTATGTACTAGTTGGAAATATTATACGTGGAATTGGTGAAACTCCCATCATGCCTTTGGGTATTTCCTACATAGAGGATTTTGCCAAATCTGAAAACTCTCCTTTATATATTGGTGAGTTGGAAAATCTGCCTTAGCCTCTTTTCAGGACAGTAAGCTCCTTGAGCATGGATATTAGTTATTTATTTAGATGCTTAGTGACTTCCAGAATGATGAACAGAGTGCTTTGGCACAACTGGCCATCATTTAAAGTTTGTTGAATGGAGCAATTATGGGCTAACTCCAAATAAGCCACTTTGCTACATCTGCTTTTTACTATTGAAAATGCCATTAATCTAGTGCCCCTGGAGTTCTATTTGACTCCTCCATTTGCTGGGCACCACTCTATACCCAATCTGTTAAGAGATTTAGCAATGTTTTCTCCAAAATGTCTCATATTCAAAACCTTTCTCACTATTTTCATTACTTCTGTTTTTGTTCAGGTCTTTATCACTTCATGTATATGTTATTATAATTTCTATATTGGTCATTTTATCTGTAGTATTTATAATCAATTTCTTATAAAAATTCTTGCAGTATAATTTTTCTTAACTATTTTAAATGTCTTCTCTTTAATGTTGATGAAACATACTGACTCTTTATCTATTAAATATGAGCTCTCCACTTATTACTAGCTCTGCACTCAGTTTATCTATTTAGTTTCTTATATAGTTTCTCTTTATCACAATTTCTTTATAATAGCCAGGCTGTTTCATATTTTTCACAAATATCTGTCTTCATAATTTTGGTAATGTTTCCTGAAAATTCATTTTCTAAAATCTATCAGTATCTCCCACAATAGGCAACTTAAGATCCACCTTGTATGTTGTCTTACAATCTCCTGAATATTCTTAATTTATTATGCATAACTTGTTTATATTCCTTAGTTACTCCGTCTGTTGTTGGTTATAAAATCATAACTTTGAGTACAGGGACATTTTTCTGTTAAAGTAGAAATATCTTTTTCAAACCATAAAAGTCAAAGTGGGTGAGAGAAGATAGTAACAGAGCTACATGTAATGAGGAGATTAAAATATTTAGGAATGATTATCCCAAACAACTTTGGGTGATTTTGATGACTTACTGATTTTGCAATAATCTTTTTCAGTATTTTTCTATTCAGTCTTTGAAATCCATTCACATACTTATATTGAAGGATTACAGAGTGCTCATCTGCAATAAATTAACAAACACCTTGTTAAAATATGTGTTTCTTTTTTCAACAAATATTAAGATGTATAACACATAGAAACAATGGATAATCTCTACATGTATTAAGATGAATAAGACATTGTCCATATAAAGTTTAGTATGTAAATACATAATTATAAATCAATATAATCTGATATGTGTATAATTAAATTTGAAAATTGAAGTAATAATTATTAATAATCCATGTATAATTAAATAATTATAAGTCAATTAACTATACATCAAGAAAACAGTTCCATGTATGGCTCTGGAGTTTAGGAGAGAACATAAATGCTGGACATAAAATTTAAGAATCATCTATACAGAGACAAAAAATAAAATCAAGAGGGAGAAATAAGGTTGCCATAGGAGGTCAGATGCTACATAGTGAGGAGCCGTAGGATAAAATACTAGGGAATGATTGTACCTAAGTGAATAGAGCAAGAGGAAGAAAACTTAAAGAAGGGGTAGTCATAAGGGACAAGACTAAGACAATAAATGAATGTATAGTTTTGTATCAAGTGGTAGATTTGGGAGTGAAGCTTTCCTGAGGAATATGCTACAAGATATTTATCATAACATAGTATTTCTTTAAAAATCCTCCAAAAATATGACTGTGGAAGGCAACAAAAGAATTTTGCTCTATACTGTGACTTTCTCAATAGTAAGATCCCAGCTGTAATACTGAAGGAACCATAGAATCAAAATATCCACCCATGATACAGTAGTGATAATTCTATTCCAATATCGGACACAGTAATAGTTTACTCACAAGACACAACAAAACTCACCGAAAAAGGCCATCACTTTAACCAGTCTCTAATACCACAAGAGAAAATGGCTTTGAATCATAATAGGGACAGTCCCACTAATCTCATCTTTTTTTTTTTTTTTGCGGTACGCGGGCCTCTCACTGTTGTGGCTGTGGGATCTTCCTGGACCGGGGCACGAACCCGTGTCCCCTGCATTGGCAGGCGGACTCTCAACCACTGCGCCACCAGGGAAGCCCCATAGAATTTAAAGATTCCCATTTCCTTAGTTTTATTTCAAAATTATTATTAAGGAATGAAGTCATGCATACATACTGATAATTTTAAGTAAGTTAGTCTTTCACAAGAGAAAAGGAATATTTTCATCTTAGAGAAGGGCGTTTGCACACAATATGGTCACCCTGCTGCAGCCAGTCGCTTCTAACTGCAGATCTTTACCTGTAACCGAGTGTGAAAGAGAATTTGGAGGCCTAGAGAAAGTGGCTTCAAATTAGGAGGCTCCTGTTTCAACATTTAAACAAACATCCTTGTTACTTGTACGTACACCAAGTTTAATTTTCCTACAGATTGAACACATAAGGCAAAAATATCTAAGGTAAAAACAATTCAATCTTCAGACTCTTTATGGGATTAGAACTCTTTATGTGGGTGTATAACTTTATATTTTCCTTTATTTTTAGGGTTTATAGAAACAGGAGCTATCATTGGTCCTTTGATTGGACTTTCGTTAGCGTCATTCTGTGCAAATGTTTATGTTGACACTGGATCGGTGAACACAGGTAACTCCATAAAATCTATTTATACAGTGTCTAAAGTACACAAAACATCATCAGGTATGTTATCACATTTAATTGTTACTTTACCTGACCCTCAGTTAGATAGAATCTCCACTTTCCAGGTGACCAAATTAAAGTTGAGGAGTTTAAATAATTTTCAATATTTCAAACCAGTGAGCAGGAGAGCAAGATACAGTGCTGATCTTCTGACTCAAAATCCAGTGCACTTTCTACTGCCCTAATCGTATTTCTTGTTTTCAAAAGATTTAAGCACATAGGTTTGAATTCTTTTTAAATCAAGCAATCATTTGAGGATAATGAAATAGAACTTGTAGCTCTTTAATAATGTACCTATTTATAAATTCCTTACATGATAGGACAGATAGTCAAACTAGCTTATTGCTAGACAGTATTGTAACACCACATATTGTCAGACAAGTTTTATCAATGTCTGAATTATATGCAAATTCCATACTTGGTTAGAACCTGACAATTATAATTGTAATAATTTTCTATAGTTCATAAAGGAAATAATGACTCAAGCTAATAAAAAATGTGTGTATCTCTTTACAGATGATCTGACCATAACTCCCATTGATACTCGTTGGGTTGGTGCATGGTGGTTTGGCTTTTTGGTTTGTGCAGGAGTGAATGTGCTTACTGCCATTCCTTTTTTCGTTTTGCCCAAAACACTTCCAAAGGAAGGACTAGAGGATATTGCTGAGACCGTTAAAAATGACAAAGAAGAGAAACAAAGCGAAGTCAGGAAGAAAAGGGTTGGAATCATTAAAGGCAAATATAAACATCTTATATTTTACAATTTACTTTTTATTTTCTATAGTCGTGTCTGTATCTTAGTCTATTACAATATTCTAGGCTGAGTTAAAACAATTTGTCACTGACAGTCAGCAGTCAATAATGTCTAGCTGTGCTACTACAATAATGTTTTCCCATGCTCCACATGGGAGTGAATGATATAGTTTAGAACCTGACTTAGATCAGCATTTATATGAAATTTTATGTCAATCTGGGTACTAAATAAATAAATAAACAAATAAATGAGGTCCCATCTGCCTTAAAAAATCTATTTTACAGAGAGCATAGGTCTAATTAAAAATGAAACTCAAACCAAGAACAAAAGGAGGAAAAAATATATGCTAATCCAAATAAGTACCATATAGGTCTGAAACCAAAAGTATTAGCTGAGCTGTGAGCGTCTTGGAAGTTAAGGCAGAAAAGAAATAAGGCACCTCAATTATAGGTCATATAATTATCTATATTTGAGAGTGGAAAGGATAACAATTCTTAAAGAGAAATTGTTGCCCAAGTAACAAGTTGTAAAAAAAATTATATGATGTACAATACAGGTAATATTGAGTCACATAGTTGTTTTCCAGCAAATTCAGGAGCATATTTCATGTAACAGGTTTTTTTTTTTTGGTATAGATCCTCAATAAAAGCTCAAAGCATAATTTACAGAAGGTTTATCTATGGGAAACTAAGTAAGATAATCAATGTATAGTATTCAGAAATACTCGTTCTCAAACTTGGCCACATATTGGAATCACCTAGGGAATTTTTTAAATTACTGATGCATGGAAATTTTGTAGTATTACCCAGAGGTCTGATTTAATTAGTATAAGGTATGGCCTGGGCCTTGGAATTCTTAAAGTGTCCATTTGGAAGGTGGTGGGGGGCTTAGTTTCCTTACCTCAAAGATAGGGATAAAATACTATTTATTATTATAAAGTTGTTGGGCGAAGGTAAAAGGAGTTCTGACACATATTACTATTGTTACTGCTTACTAGTATTAGTATTATTATTGTTGATGTTGCCACTTTTACCATCACCCGTAAATTATAATATCAATTTGCACAGAAGTTTTAGCAGTTACAAATTCACTTAAACCACAATTGAACATAATTTAATACTTCTCATATCATTAGGAGCCAATTCAGAATCTTACAAATTCTCAGAGTCCTTACGATTATATTCACAACTCTTGTCAAAGGGTCGGTATGGACTGGTAGGGAATTTTAACACAGAATATCATTTATAGTCTGCAAGATAAACTAGGAAAGGGCTTAACTTAGTATATGACATCTAGAAAAGAAATTGAAACTACTGAGACTCATCTATTAGGACAGTATGTCAACAAACATGCATGACTTCAAAAGCTCCAAAGAGCTGTGAACACAAGTCACTTCTCTGCCATGTACTTTATTCATAAATATGAATTCTGCAACTAGAATTTATTTCTTTGCATTAAACTATGCTTCCTCCACTTCCAAGTTGTTTACTGATTGATACTTTGCTAGATTGGATTTTAGGCTGTTTATTAAGCAAACCAGGATAATACACGATAAGTAAGGAAATCAAGACAGAGAACATGAAGATAGGAAAAGTGAAAAGAAACTATAAGTGAGACTTTGACCCAAAATGGAGACAGTGTGACCTAGAACATTTGCTAGAGCTGGCCACAAATTTGGCTCTGAGCTTTGTCTGTCCACACAAACAGGAAAACATTCAGTTAACTCATTTACATGGTCTTTAATATATAGCAAATCAATCAGGATCTCAGGGAGTGAGACCTGGGGATTGGTATTTTAAAAGACTGAACCGTTAGAAGCAAAGAAATGCCTAGTACTTGGGAAAATTTATATGTCATGAATTTCCACATCTAACTACATTTTAAATGTTCAGGAATGATTAATCAATATGTGAGTGTGAACTTCTTTATCAAATTGATTTCCTTCCTGGCTTTAGAGGACAGAACAGGAGAACAAGCATCTTTCATTCTAGATGATCTCTAGAGAAGAGAGGATATTAGTACAAGTAAAAGAGAAGGACAGAGCTTCCCTGGTGGCGCAGTGGTTGAGAGTCTGCCTGCCGAAGCAGGGGACACGGGTTCGTGCCCCAGGTCCGGGAAGATCCCACATGCCGCGGAGCGGCTGGACCCGTGAGCCATGGCCACTGAGCCCGCGCATCCGGAACTTGTGCTCCGCAACGGGAGAGGCCACAACAGTGAGAGGCCCGTGTACCGGAAAAAAAAAAAAAGGATAAGAAAGAAATGGTGTGAACTCGGACAATATTTTTGTCATGTAATAGTTATACTTTTTCCTTAAGACATGTTAGTAACTTAGTGAAGGCAAAACGACTGTGTTCTGATCCCTTCCCACTCAGCTGCCTCAGTGTCTTGCAGAAGCTACCAAAACAATGATACAACTTTAGCTTTCAAGGGGCAAAAAGAATCAAGAAACACAAGTGCATTATAAAACAGGAAAACATACTTTAGAGGGGAGGTTGATGTTTCAGAAAAAGTCAATCATAAAATGCAAAGCCAAGTTTGTATGACACTGTTGTCATCCTTTCCTTTCAGATTTTTTACCATTCATGAAAAGTCTTTTGTGCAACCCAGTTTACATGCTTTTCATACTAATAAGTGTGCTGCAATTCAATGCATTTGTCAATATGATCTCCTTCATGCCTAAATATTTGGAACAGCACTATGGAAAATCAGCTTCAGATGCAATCTTTCTCATTGGTATGTTTGTTCCTCTCTGCAATTGTAGCCCACCTTTTTTCCCATGAAATGGTGAACAGTGTGATGATGGGTCTAGGAAACTCCTCAGTTGAAATCTGTTAGGATATTTTTGCCTCTGGTAATCTCCCCCCTGTCTGCTCTCCAAGGAAATCAAGAGAGGGTAAGGAAGGGAAGAAGCCAGAAAATCCTGGTTTTCTTTCTTTGGCTCTTTTTGTAGTCAGAATGCAAATCTGAAATATTTGTGGAAAGTTCAGGGAATGTACAAGTTAGGTACAGTTTTCAGATTGGTAATTCATTTATGTAAAAAGGCAGACAGAGTTAACTCATCAGGAATTTTGTTTCACATCCAGATTTTACTTTTTTGGCTCCAATTCATGAATTCCGTGGTTTCTAACTTAGTTCCCTGGCTCCCCTTGTGTTTTGAGATGTCTCTGCAGCCCATACATTCTGATTTTCCTGCAACCGCACTAACCTCGGTGGTTCTACTCCACCCTGAGTTTCTCTTGGGATCTTTTTTACTGTTTTGAAAAGAGAATTTCCAGATTACATGTACCCACATCACCTAGAGTGTTTGTTAAAAGTTCAGATACCTGGGACCCATCTCAAATATACTAAATTAGACTCTCTGGAATGGGACTTGAGAATGGATATTAAACAAGCTCTCCCAAGAGTGTGATTCAGTGAACAGACCCTGGCACTGTAAGGATGAAACCTAGGGCTGTCTTTTCCCTTTTTTGGGGGGGAGGATTGGGGGAGGGAGAGTGCTAGTCAGTAGCAGCAAGACATGAAATGTAAAGATACTTGACAATCACAGGCTCAGCAAAGTACCTCTAAAATACCTTGAGCTGAGTCAAATTCTTAACAATCAGAGTGGGAATAAAAAGCTGCAGAATCATACAAATCATTCTATGTATGATTATATAATACTGTATATGTTATATACAAATCATTATATATATAATCCCACCTGAAAGAATGGAAAGCAGTAAATGACTGGTCGACTTTGACTTGTCACTTCTACCTAGATCCTAAGAAAAGAGATATAGACCATGATCCCTGCATACAAGAAATTTACAACTTACTGCTATTAATTAAATGAATGACAATGATAACAGTCTTCTAAAATATATTTCAATGTTGTGGGGCATTTAAAAATCTCTCTGTATGTAATACATAACTAAGTGGGGATAAATTTAAATTAGGCTTCTTCACTATGAGTTGGACCTAAATGGTTTTTTATGTGAGACATATTAGATAAATGTGTTATCATATTTTTTCCTTTGCTAAGTCACTTTGTACATAATATTTTACTTGCATTTATAGGTATTTATAACTTACCTCCAATATGCATTGGATATATAGTTGGTGGTTTAATTATGAAGAAGTTCAAGATTACTGTCATACAAGCTGCCCACATAGGATGTTGGTTATCTTTAATTGAGTATCTTCTCTATTTTTTGTGTTTTCTCATGATCTGTGATAATTCTTCAGTCGCTGGCATAACCACCTCTTATGAAGGGTATGTTGTTTTCTAATGAATGTCATACTTTCAAAAGTTAATAACATATTTTCTACAGTGATTACTCATGACCAGATTATTTGCTAATTGGAGTTAATGGCAGGAATTTGTGGTCTTTCTCCATCTTATTAAAGAGGTTGGGAATATATCACAGAGTTAGTGAGCTTATGATTGCGTGTGTGTGTGTATGTGTGTGTGTGTGTGTGTTTGTCTTTGTGATATCCTAGTAGGTAGTCAAATGAATATCACAGAAACTAGTTATGGTTTTAGGTTGTATTAGGATGTGTTATTCATACATTTTATACAACCATAAATAGGTAAAATTAAGAGTTGACTATACAGTCTCAATCACCTTTATATGGTTCCACGATGGGCTTAAATTTAATGTAACTGAATCCTAATACATGATATATTGATGCTTATATAAATTTATATATTTTATTTGTATAGGTATATCTATATTATTGAATCGTTTTAGATTTGCATTTTGAGGGTTACCTGGGTTCACAGGAAGGTTTTGCATAGTGATATGAATTTTTAAAAGTCATTTGTAGGACATATCTAGATAATGGAGTGATTAGTTGAAATGAAGAGCATCCTAAAATGATCCCTTTAAAGTTACCAAGGACTATACAATTGGAATAATATTAAATATATAATCATAAAAGTAATTTTATATATTATCTTATTTTAGTCTTGCAAATTCCATTTAAGATAGCTGTTGTTATTTCCATTTTACAGATGAAGAATTGAGATTCAGAGAGATTAAATGACAAAGGGAGGTCATGGAAAACCTCTTCAACTCCATCAATATATAAAAATAGAATTTAAAATTGGTAAAATCTTAAAGATTATCTCCATCTCCAATTATCCTGATTCCCAGAGCAAATATGTAAAAAGGCATAATCTAGTCATGAGTCAGGACTTTAATTTAGTTTCTAGACTCCCATGCTAGCATTCTTTTCATTATATTACACTGAACATAAGAAAAGTAATCTTGTTAGACCTTTAGATCTGTTTTTAAATTGAAGTATAGTTGATTTACAATGTGTTAGTTTCAGGTGTACAGCAAAGTGATTCAGTTACACACACACACACACACACACACACACACACACACACACACACACACACACACACACACACACACACACACACACACACACACTCACACATATATTCTTTTTCAGATTCTTTTCCATTATAGGTTATTACAAGATATTGAATATAGTTCCCTGTGCTATACAGTAGTTCTTGTTGTTTATTTTATATAAACTATTCATTTTTTATTCAATTCTATTTATTTTTTATAGTGTATATCTTCATCTCAAACTCCTAATTTATCCCTCCCTTCTTTCAACTTTGGTAACCATAAATTTGTTTTCTTCGTCTGTGAGTCTGTTTCTGTTTTGTAAATAAGTTCATTTGTATCATTTTGTTTAGATTCCACCTAAGTGATATCATATGATATTTGTCTTTCTCTGTGTTAGACCCTTTTTAAAAAACTTTTTTCCCCTGGTTTTATTGAGATATAATCGACAAAAAACATCATGTAGGTTTAAGGTGTATAATCTGATGATTTGATACATTATACATTGCAAAATGATTATCACAATAAGGTTAGTTAACACATCCGTCACCTCACGTATTTACAGTTTTGTGTGTGTGTATCACCTCGTCTCTGCAAGCTTGTCCCTTTGACCACCTTTCCCCATTCCTTTTCCTACCTCCCAGCAACCACCAATCTACTGTTTCCTTGAGTTCAGTTTTTTTAGATTCCACAAATAAGTGAGATCATACAGCATTTTTCTTTCTCTTTCTGACTTACTTCACTTTGCATAAAGCCCTCAAGCCTCATTCATATTGTTGCAAATGGCAGGATTTCCTTCTTTTTCTACGGTGGGTGATATTCCATTTTGTGTGTGTGTGTGTGTGTATATATATACATATACCACATTTTCTTTATCCATTCATCTGTCAATGCACACATAGGTTATTTCCATGTCTTGGTTATTATTGTGAATAATGCTTCAATGAACACAGGAATAGAGATATCTCTTCAATCGTCTATTTTCATTCCTTTGGATAAATACCCAGAAGTGGAATTGCTGGATCATATGGTAGTTCTGTTTTTAATATCTTGAGGACACTCCATACTGTTTTCCACAGTGGCTCTATCAATTTACATTCCCACTAAAAGTGCACAAGGTTTCCCTTTTCTCTACATTCTTGACAACATTTGTTCTTTCTTTCCTTTTGATAATAGACATCCCCTTAAACATCCTAATAGGTGTAAGGTGATATCTCATTGTGGTTTTGATCTGCATTTCCCTGATAATTAGTGATGTTAAGCACCTTTTCATTTACCTGTTTGGCTGTTTGTATGTCTTCTTTGGAAAAAATGTCTATTCAGGTCCTCTGCCCATTTCTAAATTAGATCATTTGGTTTTTGTTATTGAGTTGTATGAGTTCTTTATATTTTGGAAATTAACCTCTTATCAGATATATGATTTGCAACTATTTTCTCCCATTTCATAGGTTGCCTTTTCATTTCATTGATGGTTTAACTTTCTGTGCAGCAGCTTTTTAGTTTGACGTCATCCCACTCATTTATTTTTCCTTTTGTTACTTGTGCTTTTGTTGTCAAATCCAAAAAACTCATTGCCGATACTGGAGTCAAGGAGCTTACCCTTTATGTTTTCTTCTAGGAGTTTCATGGTTTCTGGTCTTAAATTTAAATCTTAATCAATTTGAGTTGATTTTTGTGTATGGTGTAAGATAAGGATCCAGTTTCATTCTTCTGAATGTGGTTGTCTGGTTTCCCCGCCACCATTTATGAAGAGGCTTTCCCAACTCTATTGTATATATTCCTGGCTCCTTTGTTGTAAATTAATTGACATACATGTATAGGTTTTCTTCTGGGCTTTCTATTCTGTTCCATTGATCTATGTGACTGTTTTTATGCCAATACCATACTCTTTTAATTACAATAGCTTTGCAATATGGTTTGAAACCAGGAAGTGTGATATTTACACCTTTATTCTTCTTTCTCAAGATTCCTGTGACTATTCAGGGTCTTTGTGGCTGTAGGGTGGGCTCTGTGGCTGCCCAGGCTCTCTGGCCAGGCATTCTGGATGGGTAGGACTGGAGGCTATACTCAGCAGTTGGGTGGAGCTCCATGGCCAGGGTGGCCCATTGACTGGGAACCCAAACCAGGCAGAACTGCCAACCGAGCTCTCTGGCCAGATTGGGTCACCACTCAGCTCTGCAGATGGGAAGAGGCACTAGCTGGGGTCCCTGCTTGGGCACTGCTGCAAGCGGGAATGCAGTTTACCAAGATCTGACTGCTGGTTGCTGTAAGTCCTTCCCCCATCTCCTTCTCCTGTGGTCAAACCCCACAGATTCTCCCAGTGATCCCCTTGTGGAAAGATCTGAGTGGGCCTCCTGGAAAGCATTCCATAATCTGGGGGCACTGGGCTTTCTTTTCCCACTGGAGAAACCATAGGCTTAGGGGGGCTGTCTTGATGTGGTGTTGTGCTAGCCTGGGGGAGGGGCAGTCTGCTCAGAGTGTTACTGCTCCTGTTATCCTTCTAAGGTCATCTTTCTCGGTCTCTGTGGCTCAGGAGGTGCTTCAACCTCACAACTGTGTTCTGGGATTTTCACAGTGGTGTCTTGTTTATGGATAGCTGCTAATTGGTCCTCCTGATGATCACTGAACACTTTTTATACTAGAATATTTGTTTACTCAAGTAGTTATGTTTCTGGAGCTAAATGTATTATATACATTATAAATTGCACTTACAGACTTTGCTCTTACAGATTTTGAGCCCTTGAGATTGTTTTTATAAAATATGATCTCTCTTGTTATTTTCCACCATGTGGACCAACACCGGGATTTGTTCATCTTTATTTTTGAGTTCTAATTAATACCTGAAAAAATACTTTCTGTGTAATAGGTGTTCAGGTAATGCTTGTTTATTGGCTTTTGTTTACCTGAAAGAAATCATTGAAAAACTGGCTGTGGTCACCAAAGTAAGGTATATTTTCTTGCAGAGTTATAGTATCCAAGCCAAACATTGACAGTTGGAAGGTTTCTGCTTCTATTTTGGGGAGTAGAAGAAATACAATTGGGAACTGAGCTGAAAAGAAAAAGAAAATGCTCTAATATTCTTTCAATATCCATGGCATTATTTTAAATCATTTCAGAGTGCAACAAGATTTACATGTGGAAAATGTCATCCTTGCTGACTGCAACATGGATTGTAACTGTCCAACTAAAATATGGGACCCTGTATGTGGAAACGATGGTTTGTCATACATGTCAGCTTGTCTTGCAGGTTGTGAGACATCCTCTGGAACAGGAATAAACATGGTAACACATCTTATTGGCCTTTTATACAGAACTTTTGTTTTATGCACTGCATTGGCACATTCCAACTATGAACTGGGTCCATATTTGACAAAAGTAAAATTAAAGTCTTTCCTCAAAAAAAAATTAAAATTTTTTTGTGGAAAAAATAAGTTACTTTCTATGTGCTCACTTAATTTATCTTTTACTTCCTAGATCTTATTTGAATTCTTCTACATGTCTGAGCGCTGATCTTTAATTTCATAACAGTTGACATTATTACTTACTTTCATTTAAAAATACTCTAGACTGAAAAAAAAATACTCTAGACTGAGATAAAGTAGGCAGTTTTGCTCTCAATTATGCAGTCAATCTCTTTGCTGTTTTTTTTTTTCTTTTTTCCTGTGTATATGTACACACGTACTTTCTGTGTTTTTACACCATGACAGCTTTTTAAGAAGATAGAATTGGGCATGTTTTCTTGCCTAAAAAATGTCACTTATAATGTTGGTTGGTGATCAAAATAAAATACAAATTTTGATTAATTTTTTTATTGCTGGGTCAAAACATATACAAAATTCTAACATTTATAATGGTTATTTATTCATTTATTTAAAACATCTTTATTGGAGTATAATTGCTTTACAATGGTGTGTTAGTTTCTGCTTTATAACAAAGTGAATCAGCTATACATATACATATGTCGCCATATCTCTTCCCTCTTGTGTCTCCCTCCCTCCCACCCTCCCTATCCCACCCCTCTAGGTGGTCACAAAGCACCAAGCGGATCTCCCTGTGATATGCGGCTGCTTCTCACTAGCTATATATTTTACATTTGGTAGTATATATATGTCCATGCCACTCTCTCACTTTGTCACAGCTTACCCTTCCCCCTCCCCATATCCTCAAGTCCATTCTCTAGTAGGTCTGTGTCTTTATTCCCGTCTTGCCCCTAGGTTCTTCAGGCCCTTTTTTTTTTTTTTTTTAAGATTCCATATATATGTGTTAGCATACAATATTTGTTTTTCTCTTTCTGACTTACTTCACTCTGTATGACAGACTCTAGGCCCATCCACCTCACTCCAAATAACTCAATTTCGTTTCTTTTTATGGCTGAGTAATATTCCATTGTATATATGTGCCACATCTTCTTTATCCATTCATCTGTTGATGGACACTTAGGTTGCTTCCATGTCCTGGCTATTGTAAATAGAGCTGCAATGAACATTGTGGTACATGGCTCTTTTTGAATTATGGTTTTCTCAGGGTATATGCCCAGTAGTGGGATTGCTGGGTCGTATGGTAGTTCTATTTTTAGTTTTTTGAGGAACCTCCATACTGTTCTCCATAGTGGCTGGATCAACTTACATTCCCACCAACAGGGCAAGAGAGTTCCCTTTTCTCCACACCTTCTTCAGCCTTTATTGTTTGTAGATTTTTTGATGATGGCCATTCTGACCAGTGTGAGATGATATCTCATTGTAGTTTTGCTTTGCATTTCTCTAATGATTAATGATGTTGAGCATTCTTTCATGTCTTTGTGGCAATCTGTATATCTTCTTTGCAGAAATGTCTATTTAGGTCTTCTGCCCATTTTTGGATTGGGTTGTTTGTTTTTTTGATAATGAGTTGCATGAGCTGCTTGTAAATTTTGGAGCTTAATCCTTTGTCAGTTGCTTCATATGCAAATATTTTCTCCCATTCTGAGGGTTGTATTTTCGTCTTGTTTATGATTTCCTTTGCTGTGCTAAAGCTTTTAAGTTTCATTAAGTCTCATTTGTTTATTTTTGTTTTTATTTCCATTCCTTTAGGAGGTGGGTCAAAAAGGATCTTGCTGTGATTTATGTCATAGAGTGTTCTGCCTATGTTTTCCTCTAAGAGCTTGATAGTGTCTGGCTTTATATTTAGGTCTTTAATCCAATTTGAGTTTATTATTGTGTATGGTGTTAGGGAGTGTTATAATTTCATTCTTTTACATGTAGCTGTCCAGTTATCCCAGCACCACTTATTGAAGAGGCTGTCTTTTCTCCACTGTATATTCTTGCCTCCTTTATCAAAGATAAGGTGATATTATGTGCGTGGGTTTATCTCTGGGCCTTCTATCCTGTTCCACTGATCTATATTTCTGTTTTTGTGCCACTACAATATTGTCTTTATTACTGTAGCTTTGTAGTATAGTCTGAAGTCAGGGAGCCTGATTCCTCCAGCTCTCTTTTTCTTTCTCAAGATTGCATTGTTTACTCGGGGTTTTTTGTGTTTCCATACAAATTGTGAAATTCTTTGTTCTGTGAAAAATGCCAGTGGTAGTTTCATAGGGATTGAATTGAATCTGTAGACTGCTTTGGGTAGTATAGTCATTTTCACAATGTTGATTCTTCCAATCCAAGAACATGGTATATCTCTCCATATATTTGTATCATCTTTAATTTCTTTCCCCAGTGTCATAATTTTCTGCATACAGGTCTCTTGTCTCCTTAGGTAGGTTTATTTCTACATATTTTATTCTTTTTCTTGCAATGGTAAATGGGAGTGTTTTCTTAATTTCACTTTCAGATTTTTCATCATTAGTGTATAGGAATGCAAGAGATTTCTGTGCATTAATTTTGTATCCTACTACCAAATTCATTGATTACTCCTAGTAGTTTTCTGGTACCATCTTTGGGATTCTATATTTATAGTATCATGCCATCTGCAAACAGTGACAGCTTTACTTCTTCTTTTCCAATTTGGACTCCTTTTATTTCTTTTTATTCTTTGACTGCTGTGGCTAAAACTTCCAAAACTATGTTGAATAATTGTGGTGAGAGTGGCAACCTTGTCTTGTTCCTGATCTTATTAGAAATGCTTTCAGTTTTTCACCATTGAGGACGATGTTGGCTGTGGGTTTGTCATATATGGCCTTTATTATGTTGAGGAAAGTTCCTTCTATGCCTACTTTCTGGAGGGTTTTTATCATAAATGGGTGTTGACTTTTGTTGAAAGCTTTCTCTGCATTGATTGAGATGATCATATAGTTTTTCTCTTTCAGTTTGTTAATATGGTGTATCACATTGATTGATTTGCATATATCAAAGAATCCTTGCATTCCTGGGATAAACCCCACTTGATCATGGTGTGTGATCCTTTTAATGTGCTGTTGGATTCTGTTTGCTAGTATTTTGTTGAGGATTTTTGCATCTATGTTCATCAGTGATATTGGCCTGTAGTTTTCTTTCTTTGTGACATCCTTGTTTGGTGTTGGTATCAGGGTGATGGTGGCCTCGTAGAATGAGTTTGGGAGTGTTCCTCCCTCTGCTATATTTTGGAAGAGTTTGAGAAGGATAGGTGTTAGCTCTTCTCTACATGTTTGATAGAATTCGTCTGTGAAGCCATCTGGTCCTGGGCTTTTGTTTGTTGGAAGATTTTTAATCACAGTTTCAATTTCAGTGCTTGTGATTGGTCTGTTCATATTTCCAACTCTTTCTGGTTCAGTCTCGGAAGATTGTGCCTTTCTAAGAATTTGTCCATTTCTTCCAGGTTATCCATGTTACTGGCATATAGTTGCTTGTAGTAATCGCTCATGATCCTTTGCATTTCTGCAGTGTCAGTTGTTACTTCTCCTTTTTCATTTCTGATTCTATTGATTTGAGTCTTCTCCCTTTTTTTCTTGATGAGTCTGGCTAATGGTTTATCAATTTTGTTTATCTTCTCAAAGAACCAGCTTTTAGTTTTATTGATCTTTGCTATCGTTTCCTTCATTTCTTTTTCATTTATTTCTGATCTGATCTTTATGATTTCTTTCCTTCTGCTAACTTTGGGGTTTTTTTGTTCTTCTTTCTCTAATTGCTTTAGGTGTAAGGTTAGGTTGTTTATTTGAGATGTTTCTTGTTTTTTTTTTTTGCGGTACGCGGGCCTCTCACTGTTGTGGCCTCTCCCATTGCGGAGCACAGGCTCCGGACGCACAGGCTCAGCAGCCATGGCTCACGGGCCCAGCCGCTCCACGGCATGTGGGATCTTCCAGGACCAGGGCACGAACCCTTGTCCCCTGCATCGGCAGGCGGACTCTCAACCACTGCGCCACCAGGGAAGCCCTGTTTCTTGTTTTTTTAAGGTAGGATTGTATTGCTATAAACTTCTCTCTTAGAACTGCTTTTGCTACATCCCATAGGTTTTGGCTCATTGTGTTCTCATTGTCATTTGTTTCTAGGTATTTTTTAATTTTCTCATTGATTTCTTCGGTGATTTCTTGGTTACTAAGTAGTGTATTCTTTAGCCTCCATGTGTTTGTATTTTTTTACAGATTTTTTCCTGTAATTGATATTTAGTCTCATAGCGTTGTGGTCAGAAAAGATACTTGATATGATTTCAATATTCTTAAATTTACCAAGGCTTGATTTCTGACCCAAGATATGATCTATCCTGCAGAATGTACCATGAGCACTCGAGAAGAATGTGTATTCTGTTGTTTTTGGATGGAATGTCCTATAAATATCAATTATCTCCATCTTGTTTAATGTATCATTTAAACCTTGTGTTTCCTTATTCATTTTCATTTTGGATGATCTGTCCATTGGTGAAAGTGGGGTGTTGAAGTCTCCTAGTATGATTGTGTTACTGTCGATTTCCCCTCTTATGGCTGTTATTATTTGCCTTATATATTGAGGTGCTCCTATGTTGGGTGCATAAATATTTACAATTGTTATATCTTCTTCTTGGATTGATCCCTTGATCATTATGTACTGTCCTTCTTTGTCTCTTGTAATAGTGTTTATTTTAAAGTCTATTTTGTCTGATATGAGAATTGCTACTCCAGCTTTCTTTTGATTTCCATTTGCATGGAATATCTTTTTCCATCCCCTCACTTTCAGTCTGTATGTTTCCCTAGGTCTGAAGTGGGTCTCTTGTAGGCAGCATATATATGGGTCTTGTTTTTGTATCCATTCAGCCAGTCTATGTCTTTTGGTTGGAGCATTTAATCCATTACAATTTAAGGTAATTATTGATATGTATGTTCCTATTCCCATTTTCTTAGTTGTTTTGGGTTTGTTATTGTAGGTCTTTTGTGTCTGTCCCCAGCGGCTAAGGTTTGTTCAGTGGGTTGTGTAGGGTTCCTCGTGGAGGGGAATAGTGCCTGTGTTCTGGTGGATGAGGCTGGATCTTGTCTTTCTGATGGGCAGGTCCACGTCTGGTGGTGTGTTTTGGGGTGTCTGTGGCCTTATTATGATTTTAGGCAGCCTCTCTGCTAATGGATGGGTTTGTGTTCCTGTCCTGCTAGTTGTTTGGCATAGGGTGTCCAGCACTGTAGCTTGCTGGTCATTCAGTGAAGCTGGGTCTTGGCATTGACATGGAGATTTCCTGGAGATTTTTGTCTTTTGATATTACATAGAGCTAGGAGGTCTCTTGTGGACCAGTGTCCTGAACTTGGCACTCCTACCTCAGAGGCACAGCCCTGACACCTGGCTGGATGATCCTATCATCCACACAGCTTAGAATAAATGGGAGGAAAAAAAAGGAAAGAAAGAATGTAGAAGATAAAATAAAATAAAGTTATTTAAATAAAAAATACTTATTAAATAAAGTTTTTAAGTCATAAAAAGTAAAAAAAAGAAAAAGAGCAACCAAACCAAAAACCCAATACACCAATGATAACTAGTGCTAAAAACTATACTTAAAAAAAAAACAAAAAACGGACAGACAGAACCATAGGACAACTGGTAAAAGCAAAGCTATACAGACAAAATCACACACAGAAGCATACACATACACACTCACAAAAGAGAAAAGGGTTTAAATATATATATATATATATATATATATCCTTGCTCTCAAAGTCCACCTCCTCAGTTTTGGGATGATTTGTTGTCTGTTCATGTATTCCACAGATGCAGGCACATCAAGTTGATTGTGGAGCTTTAATACGCTGCTCCTGAGGCTGCTGGGAGAGATTTCCCTTTCTCTTCTTTGTTCTCACAGCTCCCGAGGTTCAGCTTTGGATTTGGCCCTGCCTCTGTGTGTAGGTCTCCTGAGAGCGTCTGTTCTTTGCTCAGATAGGACGGGGTTAAAGGAGCCGCTGATTTGGGGGCTCTGGCGCACTCAGGCTGGGGGAAGGGAGGGGCACGGAGTGCGGGGCGAGCCTGCGGCGGCAGAGGCCGGTGACGTTGCACCTGCCTGAGGCGCGCCATGTGTTCTCCCGGGGAAGTTGTCGCTGGATCACGGGACCCTGGCAGTGGCGGGCTGCACAGTTTCTCGGGAGGGGAGGTGTGGAGAGTGACCTGTGCTCGCACACAGGCTTCTTGCTGGCGGCAGCAGCAGCCTTAGCGTCTCATGCCCGTCTCTGGGGTCCACGCTGTTAGCCGGCTCACGCCTGTCTCTGGAGCTCCTTTAAGCAGCGCTGTTAGTCCCCTCTCCTCGCGCACCAGGAAACAAGGAGGCAAGAAAAAGTCTCTTGCCTTTTCGGCAGGTCCAGGCTTTTTCCCGGACTCCCTCCCGGCTAGCCGTGGCGCACTAAGCCCCTTCAGGCTGTGTTCACACGGCCAACCCCAGTCCTCTCCCTGGGACCCGACCTCCGAAGCCCGAGCCTCAGCTCCCAGCCCCACTCGCCCCGGCGGGTGAGCAGACAAGCTTCTCCGGCTGGTGAGGGCTGGTGGGCTCCGATCCTCTGTGTGGGAACCTCTCCGCTTTGCCCTCTGCACCGCTGTGGCTGCGCTCCTCCTCCGTGGCTCCAAAACTTCCCCCCACAGCCACCCGGCAGTCTCCGCCCGCGAAGGGGCTTCTAGTGTGTGGAAACCTTTCCTCCTTCACGGCTCCCTCCCACTGGTGCAGGTCCCGTCCCTATTCTTTTGTCTCTGTTTATTCTTTTTTCTTTTGCCCTACCCAGGTACGTGGGGAGTTACTTGCCTTTTGGGAGGTCTGAGGTCTTCTGCCAGTGTTCAGTAGGTGTTCTGTAGGAGCTGTTCCACATGTAGATGTATTTCTGATGTATTTATGGGGAGGAAGGTGATCTCCACGTCTTACTCTTCTGCCATCTTGAAGCTCCACCTTCCAAATTTTGATTCTTATTGAAACCTGGGAACATAAGAATTCAAAAAGGGTTGACTTTGTTCTGTTTGTGAAATAAACTATATTTTTTGAAATAAAACTTTGTTTATTGGTAAGTAAATATTTCAGCTGAGCATTCTGAAACAAATTTTATTTGTCATATTTAGCATGTGGCAAAATAGCATGTGTTTCTAAAAAGCATGACTTTTATGCAACAGAGCTATTGCAAATGTACTCAAATTTAGAAAGAAATATCCTTTTTCGGAAACCACTCTTCTATGTTTTGTTTCACGAGATAATCTTGAGACACAATAAAGGATATGAGAACAAAGGGAATAAACTGTCTATCTTGACCTAATTGGGCATGCAGAAAATATTTGAGATTTGTATTCAAAACTTTCCTTCCTTAAATAGGATAATATATTATTTTTGACAGGTGTTCCAAAATTGTAGCTGTATTCAAACACCAGGAAATTCATCTGCAGTTCTTGGGCTATGTGACAAGGGACAGGACTGTTCCATGATGCTCCAGTACTTTTTAATCTTGTCGGTGGTCAGCAGTTTCATCTATTCTTTATCTGCCATCCCTGGATATATGGTTCTCCTGAGGTACAAGAATTATTTTCTGTATTTAGATTTATTTCTGGTTATTTAGTAAGGGAGCTTTTTCTAAGAAAGCCACTTAGGTCCACAGTATCTAAGAACCTGGTGCTCTATATATACCAGTTATTAAGATTTTCCCATTAAGCATTGTTGAATTTTACCAAATTTTAAAGTTAGCAGTAAAAATGTTTATCTGTTGGTATTTCCCTCCCTATCTTTCCTACCTTATTTCTTAGAGTTAAATTAGTGAACCTCTCATTGTTTAACACAAGAAGAGACACATTTATATTTTAGGGTAAACCATACGAAATCATCATTTTCCTAGGTACAGAGTGGTTGCCTAGCTGTCATTTCTTATAGTTCAACCTATAGGACAGCAGAGTTTAAAGCTGTCGGAAGTCTCAGTTTCACCAATTACTACCCACAGGGCAAAAGGCAGGTCAATTGATCTTTCTGAGCTCCTTTTATCTTTAATTAAAAAATGGATATATAATGAATGCTCAACTGTCTTATAAGGCTACTGTGAGACACAAACGTTGAAGGGCTTACTGAAACTAGGAAATTGCAGAGCTAGGATTCAGACTTAGGTTTATTACATGTATTTTTCCAATTACAGCAGCTTTATGCCTTGTAAATGATTCTAAACATGCCTAGTAAACAAAGTGCATTGTTTTCTCTTTTCTTCCTCTTGAAGCAGAGTTAAGTTGATCATAATTCTCAGTTCATAGTTTATCCTAGGTGAAGTAAGGTTTCCCTCTTGTTTTATTTCACTTTATTTTAATTTTTTCCATTCCATTCCCCACTTCCTATCACCACCGGCATCTGTATTAATATGATAGACATATGTTCTTAAATACGTATTTTCCTTTGTAAAATATTAAGTTTTTTGTGTATTGTGTTTTATATTCACACAAATAGTGTTGTGCCATAAATTTGTTTTGGTTCAAAAGGCACACTGATACATAAATTCACCAAGTACTGCTAGTACTTATGAGTTATTCTCGTACCATCAATGCATGGGAATTTCTACTTCCTTATAGCCTCACCAACACTTAGAATTATTGAACTTTCTGACTTTGACTCTTCCAATGGGTGTAAAATGATAGCTCACTGATGTTTTAATATGTGATTTCCTAATTCAATGAGTTGAAGAATTTCTTCAAACTTTTTTCTAGCTATTAATGCTTCTGCTTCAAGATGCTTATTCATTATTTTTTCCCACTTTCATTATAATTCCTATACTTTTCTTGGTGAATTATAGACATTAATGTAATATTGTTTACTTGATACAATTATCTTTTCCTGGTCTCTCATCTTTCCTTTGAATTTTTTCATAGTATTCTTTATGAAATTAAATCCTAAATTTTGTTGTAGTGAAATCTAACAATTTTCTTGCCTTAGGGTTTGTGTATTGGGGAGTCACATTTCAAAAGGGTTCCCATATTCCTAATTTATAAAAGTATTCCCCTAAATTTTATCCTACTAGCTATACAGCTTTACCTAGTTCTTTGTCATTACAAGTCTATCTTTATGTGTGGCTCAAGGGAGAGAGATATTCAGTGTTATTTTTCTCCAAAAAATAAAGTAGCTTTCCCAGCATCACAGCACAAATAAGAGGTCTTTATTCCATTGATTTGTGGTGCCATCTTTATCATATTTAAAATGTTTATATAACATTGGCCATTTTCATTCTTATTCTGTTCCACAGTTTATTTGTTCTCATACCAGTGACACTGCATATTTTAATGTCTCATACAGTAGCTCTTCCTCACCCACCCAACACTTTCACCTTCACTCTTCCTTTATTCTTTTCTTCCTAAATTGATTTAGCTATCAATGCATGGATCTTTATACTCACATGTGAATTTTGATTGTATGGATTCTACATATTAATGGGAGAAACTCTGACATCAAATATTTGTGAACATGGAATATTTTTCCATTTATTTAAAATTTCCTTTATAGATACTACACACACACACACACACACACACATATAATATATATTATATATATATACACACACAAAATGTTACCATGTACAATTGCAAATATATATGTACCCATATATATCCAAGCATACATATATGGACATGTACTTATTTGTAATTTAACATGGTGTTATTTTCTTTTATATTTTCTAGTTGGTTATTGTTGGTTTAGAGGAATGCTGTTGATTTTTTAAAGTTTACTTTTTATCCAGCAACTTTTCTTATTTGTTCTAATAACTTGTTGATTTTGTTAGGTTTTCTATGTAGAAATATGTGCACATATGGAGAGTTTTATCTCTTCACTTCCAAGCCTTACACATCTTAGGTTTTAAAAATTTTCTTACAGCATCAGCTTGGACCTCCAAAACTGTGTTAAACTATTTGGTGATAGTGAGTATTCTTGTTCTTTTCTAATTTTGATGGAAACCATGTAAAATTTTTCCATTAAATATGATGCTTGCTATAGATTTTTAGTATGAGTTTTCATCTAGTTTCTGAGTTTTCAATAATAGAATCAGTATTAAACTATCAAATATATTTTTCTTCATCTAGGAAAAAATTTATATATAATCTTCCAACTCAGTACTTTTAGTGTAGTGGAAAAAAGTGATAGTTTTTTTCTATATTGAACTGCTTGCATATCTAAGAAAAACCATACTTAATCACAATATATTTTTATATATGATTTGATTTAAATAATAATTTATTTAAAATTATTATATCAATGTTGATAAGTAAAACGTACCTTTTATTTTCTATTCTTTTTTGTTTGTTTTTTTGTAATCTTTCTAGGCCCACAAAATAAATTAATAAATTTTCTATTTTTAAACTTCTGGAATAACTTGCATTAAATATCTGTTTGTTGAAAGTTTTATGAATTCACCTGTAAAACTATTTGTACTTTGGGCTTATTTGGTCAGTGATACTTGGTTATTATTTTCATTTATTTAATGTTAGTGTCTATTCACATTTTCCGTATCTGCTTACACCAGTTGTATACTTGTTAGTGTATGGTGTTTATAATATTCTTTTATCATTCTGATATTCTCTGATATATATATATATTTCTTTTTTAAAGAGCCAGTTTTTGGTTTTGATAATCTTTATTTCATCTATTTCTGCTCTTTATTTTATTTATTTAAAAATTTTTTTCCTTTGGGGCTCGCTCTGTTTTTCTTTATCAACTATTTGAGTTTAACACTTAGATAATTTGCTCATTTTGATTAATGTAAATAAAATCATACATTTCCTTGCAAGTATTGCCTTAGTTATATCTGAACTAGTATTTTCCATGAAGTTTACTTCTAACTTTTTTGTAATATCTTTTATGTTTGCTCCACCAAACAAAAATTTATTTATGTGTTATATAATTTCCATATCTATAAGAAATTTCTATAGGTATCCTTTATTATTGTTATTTCATTTTCATGTTCAGAGAATATAGTCTGACAGATGTGGGGTTTGGGGGGGAAATATTGAGGCTTTCTTTGGGGCATAATGCATGTTCAATTTTTGAGTGTTTCATGTGTTTCTGAAAAGAAAGTGTAACTTCTGCATTTTAGATATACAGTTTCCATATTTCTTGGATTGAAGTTAATCACTGTGTTATCTAAATTTTGTAAATCTATGCTTGTTTTTTGTCTGCTTAATTCAACAGTTTTTTGAAGATGGATGTTAAAATCTTTTAAAATTGCTGATGTATTTCTTCCTATAATTCTGTCAGTTTTTTACTTTATATATTTGGAGGCTATATTGTAGGATGTAAATGTGTCTTTATCATTATACTTCTATTATTAGCAGCACTTAATTTTCTTCTTTATCTTTTAGTCATTTCTTTCAGGCAATTCTATTTTGTCTCTTATTAAAATTGCAGTACTGGCTTTCTTTTGGTTCACTGCTTCCTGTTACACCTTTTTCCTTCCCTTTCTTTTCAATCTTCAATCTTCTATTTCACTTTATAGACAATATGCTAGATCTGATTTTGTAATTTCAGATTGGTGAGTTTAACCTACTTATATTTATTGTAATTAATGTGATAGGGCTCTTTTGCCACTTTATTTCATATATTCTATGTATTTGACTTTTTGCTTCTTTTTTTGCTTTCCATTGTATCTATTGGATTTTCTTCTGCTGCTTTAAAAGTCATATCTTTCCAATGGCTAGCCTGATTATTGAAATTCTTAGCTACATTTCTGTTTTACTTATCAATTTCAAAACTTTTCAGTAATAATATATACTTTCTATTAAGATGAATACTTAATCATGCTCTCATCTCTCTTCATATCTTTACTCTCTTCCTCCAGTTCTTGCCAAGATCACATTGTTGAATTTAACACCTGGATTTTTATGGATATACTTATGCTTTTCACTATTTTTGTGGAATATTCATGGCTCTCCTACCATGATGGTAGAGGGATGCAACATCTATGCTACTCTGTCAGTTTTTAAGAACTATTTTAATTTCTCTCAGCATTTTCCCATAATTTGCATTTTAATTTTTCTTTCTTATTTCTGGATTCTAGAATTAATGTTGTTATCAATGTCAAATAGTGACAGCATTTGGAGAACAGTTTAAACTGTTTACAATTTCTTAGCTATAAGGATTTCATACTTTTGTGAGATCATAGGGTGGTAATATTAGAAATAGAGGAGAAAGAAAAATTCTTCAGTAAAATTTAAATGCCCTATTTTCTGTATTAAATGGTAACTATGGGAGCAAGAGGGTCATGCTAGGTCTCCTGGCTTTTCTTACTTCCTTCTCAGTAAAATCCTTGATGCTGTCTAAATAACCTATGTGTTAGATAGATAATGACCAGATCAACTGTATCTCAGTCTATTGATGCTGAAGAGTTATTTGAATCGGTAAAATACTTATGCCAAGAAAATGCCAATAATATGATATTTTTGCTAAAAATGTACTACATCCTTTTGTGAAGAAAGCTGCTTTCATTTTCTCAGCTTTGAGTTAATCAAAGAAGGGAAGGGAATACAGAGGAACTCTCCAAGTGAATTCTTGAAGCAGGTAGCCATGCTGCTGCTGAAGTGAGTGGAGCACAAAAAGTGCCATTGGGGAATTATAGTCTTCATTTCTACTCATAGGAATTTCAGGCAACAATGAAAACATCAGGGAATTTCTGGAGAGAATGGAGGAATCTGTGCCACTCTTGAAAAGATACCAAGTCACTTAAAATATGTTTGCTTTGGATTTTTTTCATCACTTTCCTTTGAAAATTTTTATTCTGGCTTTCTTTTTTCCTTACATTTATTTTTTAAAATTCTTGGCTTTTCTGTATTTTAATAGAAATAATTTAAATACACCTAGGGTTGCATTGTTCTTGTTTTAGGCTAAAGTTTTAACCATCAGAATCAAGAAATACTATTCAAGAAGAGGATACTGGGGTAGAAATCAACTGATATGAAACATTTTCTTCCTTGATAACTTTATGATAGAAATTAATGAGCAAAAAGTGATGGATAAAATGCCAAGGACCAGAGGTGGGGATCCTGTGAAGGTTATGAACTGGATAATCAGGCCTTGAATAACCAAGACCTGAGCAGGCAGGAAAATTTTCTAAGGCTCAGTGTGTTACTAGCACACAAACAGTTCTTTTAAGAAACTGTGGTAGATTTTAAATGTCTACTTTTAAAATTTATGAATTCATTTATTTTTTAGGTGTATCAAGCCTGAAGAGAAGTCTCTTGGTGTGGGATTACATGCATTTTGCACAAGGGTATTAGGTAAAAATAGTTATTTTTTCCAACATCACATCAGATCACTATTAAATACTAAGTAGATGAAATCACTCCCTCAGAGTAACAGTCTAGCAAATATCGCTTCTGCTTGTAAACAGCACTTTGTAATTAGTGTGAGAATGAAGAACGAAAAGAAATAGAGAACTTCTCTTTTTTACTTGAAAAAGACCTATCTGACCTTAATTCTACTTTCCATCAATGCAATTTGAAAAGCAAAGGAACAGGAAATGCTTTGTTAAAGTATAATGTGCATGTGATTGGCCCAAAACATTGCAGAAAAAAAATGTGAAGAATCATTAATTCAGTGTTTTTCTCTACTGATGATTTTTATTTTGCATTTATCCTTCAGATTACTTATTTATCATCTAAAAACTTTACAGTAAAAGTAACTTCCAGTTTCTAAAAGTAAAATTTAAAGCAATAGATTATTTGTTCTACAAATAAAGTTAAAATGTTTCCAAACCAAACAATATATCTTCTTACCTTGCTAATGGATTCTTCTTTCTCCCTTTTAATTGTAGCTGGAATTCCCGCACCTATATATTTTGGAGCTTTAGTGGACTCCACATGTTTACACTGGGGTACTTTGAAATGTGGTGAGTCAGGGGCATGTAGGATATATGATTCCACCAACTTCAGGTAAAGATAATTTTTTAAATTGCTTTCTAAGCATAGGCAGTGTGTAAAACGGTACCATTCATATCTAACATTTTCTTTGTTAAGGGACTAGATTACTTTTGCCTTTGTTTCCAGAGTAGATAGTGGTACTGTATCTCCAATTCTTATTTATATACTAGAATTTTATTTCCTCAATATTTTCAAAGTACTTGATAAATATAAGCATGGGTGGCTTTCAAAAGCTTGTTCCTTAAATTGGTTGCAATCAATATATTGTTGAAGGTCATGGCTGTACAAAAGCTACCTATCTAAATTGTATTACTCTCAAGTATCCCCATTTAATCCTACATCATTTCAACATCTTACTAGGTTAAATCCTTACTTCCTTTCACTATCCACTTCTGATCTCTAAAATGGTATTTTTTTCTCCCTTATTATATTTCACTGACACAATATTCTTCATGTCTCTTAAAGCTTTATTTTTTTTAATAACAGACCTGATTTTGAACAAACCTCATATGATAATATTAACCTGTTTTTTAACAAAACTCTTCCATTTTTCTCTTTTTATTTTCACATTCTTTTCCATTTGGAGACCTGGATTTTGTTTAAATTTATATTAATTTCTCCTTATGGGGCAGTAAGAAAACTCATTTTCTAAAAATGATTTAGCATTATTTAAAATAGTCTAAGGTCTTCTCTTGATCAGTAAAAGGATATATGTCAAGAACTGTGAAGAGAGCAGACAGAATGTGATTCATGTTTTCATCAGTTCCCCTTTCCCCTAAAGTTCCACAGGGGCAATATGGAGGTGGGCACAGATACATACTGTGCATGCAATGGGTTTGCATCACAATTGAGGAAAGCCAAGGATCCCTAGTGTAGGTTGGCCTCATCCTGCTGCTTTGATTCCTCTTGATAGTAGCTTTGATTAAATGCTATTTCAGACAAAGTTATTATATTTGGTACCATCCTCTGTCAGTCAGATGAATTAGAGTGACCAATGAAGTGTACTCATGAGAAAATTCATCAGAAACTAGTACAATGTAGAAACAAGAGTTACATGTTGATGGACAATTCTTCATGGGTTCCTTGAATTTTGGCATATCTTGTCAGCAGAAGCTTTTGTTCTGAACTATCTTTTCAAAGATGTTTGAACAGTAAGTGACCTTGGAAGATCAAAATGGTCTTTCCCTCTGGAGCAGAGTTTTCTGTCCAGGATGATAAAGGTAACATCTCCCTCTGGGGCAAATGTTGGCAGATTTGCTTGCAACCCATTTAAATGATAGGGATTTCCTAAACTCAGGATTGCTTAGCTGTGGCCCGAACGCAGTGCGTGCACAACATCCACCTGGGTCTCCTGTGTCCCCACTTCGGGACTTGGGGGGTGAAAACTAACCTGAACATGAAGCTTGTGCTGATTGCTGTATAAAAGTCCTTGTCTCTGACCAAGGAGGCTTGTATCTTCTGCCAGTTTCCATGCAGCTATGGCAGGCTAACTTGTTAGCTTAAAATCCAGGTAAGATCTAGGACTCTTTTACAGTTCTTGAGAACAGAAATACTGATTAACTTAAAAATTGGCCAAAAATGTAAGGATGATCACTTACATTTATTACCATCTAATGAAAAGTGGGGAAAGAATTAAGGAAAATTTGATGGAAGTAAGGCATAGGAAAATAAAAACACACAAAATAATAGAAAATAAAGCCTAAATATACCAGGTTTCGCAATAAGTGTAAACCAATTGAACTTGCTTCTTAAAAGATAATGCCTTTCATATTGAAGTTTTCCAAATTCCAGCTACATGTTTTTTACAAGAGATAGCCTAAAAATATAGTGCAAAGAAAGGTTGAAGATAAAGGTCAGAAAATGTATACCAGACAAATATTAAATCAAGCTTCTGTGGTTATATTAATGACTGTAAGACAAAGTAGAATTTAAAGTGAAAAGAATTAATAGAATTAAAGAAGGGTATTACTTAATAATAAAAAAAAGCACTTCACCAAAAATATATATCATGAATCCATATAAATCTGTCAACATAAATTCAAATATATAAAACAAAAATTACAAGAAGAAATCTACAATTAGAGAGGAAAATTTCAACACATTTCTACAACAAGTGAATATAAAATACAGATGAAAAATTAGTGAGAATATAGAAGATTGAACCATCCAATTGCACAAAAATTATCTATTGGTAGATATATCGTGATTTTTTTTTTTTTTTTTTTTTTTTTGGTTT